CTTCTGCCCCACACAACAGATAAAGCTCCATGCCAGGTCCTTCCCCTGGGGAAAGAGCTCTAGCTCTGAGGGAGGCAGCCGGGTCCCTTCTTAACCAGGGCAGATATTGCTGGGATTCACCCCCATCCTATTCTACCCTGCCCCCTCCTTTCTGGCTTATTCCCTCAGCCACTGCAGCGAAATCACCCTTAAGGCCTCAGGCCTGTTGCTCCACCTCCTCCTCCAGGAAAACTTCTGTTGGACTCACCCCACCCATGGCTGAGGAAGCCCTGGGGCTGGGAGCCAGTTGCCCCATCCCTGTCCCTCTGGCCCCCCAGCTCTCCTCCTAGGCTTTCTGTCTCTGCTTAAAGTTCTCCTGCCCAGAAATCCGTAGAGTCCATAGAGTCCTCCAGTCGGAGGCCAGGCTGGGGGAGACAGGCAGAGAGAGACACAGGAGTCCTGCCTCTCCCGACCTGAGGGCGCAGCTCTAGTTCTGCACACCCTCCCACCACCCCCATCCTCACCCCTCAGGGAGGAAACCCCTCAGGCCCCCCAGAGGAGGGAGGGGGTGGGAACCAGAGAAAGCTGTGGGTGCAGAAGCACACTGAGGAATCCGATCTGCTCCTGGGTTGGGGAGGCTGGTCCCTGGGGGGACCCTATGAGGGCACTGGTGTGCAGCAAAGGCGGTAGCCTTTGTCACTGCAGGAACATCTTTAATGCAGGTGCGGAGAAGAGTCAGGGGTGGAGGGGCTCCCCCTCTGCGGAACCTTGTCTCGGGGTCAGCTGTTGGGTGTGACACATTCATCAAGGGTGAGGGCCCCATGAGGTGACACAGAGGCAGACACAAGGGCGCTGCCACCCCTGGGTTCCAGCCTGGGTCACATCTCCTGGGTGTTTCCCTGTACCAGGGCTTGTTGACTCTAAATAAGGTGCTGGCTGGAGGCAACCGGCTGGAGGGGGCCCTGGGGTGAGGTGGCACCCGGCGCTCGGCAGGGGGTGGTGGGGGAAGAGCCTGCCAGGGTGGGCTCAGATCTCCACCAGGCCTGGGCTCTGGGCCCAAGTGGGGGGCCAGTCACGGGGTATTTCTGGGCCTTCATAACCCCTGCTTTGCCCCAGGGGAGGATCTGGGCCTCAGCGCTTCCCGCCCCGCATGCCTCCATCGCAGGGCCTGCAGGGCCTCCATGCTAAATCTGGTCCCATTCAGTTCCTCCTCAGCTGGAATGTGCTCCACCCCTCAGTGCCCGCCTCAGGCCTCTGGAGGTGCCTCACACCCCCTGCGCTGTTCCTCTGCACCCTGGGCCTGCCCACTTTGCACTAGGTCCGTTCTGGGCGGATGCCAGCCCCATTCAATGCAGACCCGGCTCTCTGGGCTGCCCCGTCAGGTGGCTCCTCCCCCTACTGTCTGGGTAACAACAGACCGAGGGCGGAGGGCGGGGTGGCTGTGCTAGGCCAGCTTCTCTCCACACATGCCCTGTTAGGAGCCTCTGGCTCTGCTTGGCCGGTGCTGGCCAGGCCGGTTTAGTCCAGTGAGCTGGGCTGCCTGAGAATTCGAGAATTGGAGAATGACCTTGGCAAGGAGAGATGGAGGGGGTACTCCCTTTGGTCCTCAGAGCCTTACTGGTTTCTGTGCCCCAGATATCTGGACACACTTCAGGATGGCCCCCTCTGAATTCTGAATTCTCCCCGTGCCAGGCACACCCCCTGCCCCCAGCTGTACAGACACAGACATATGACATCACCTGACCACGTACCCACATTCTCCCCATGAGCACGCATGCTCGTGCACGAACCACATGCTCACCCTGAGTGTACAAGTGTGCATATATATTGTTACACATTTCCTCCCTCTGATCATACACACTTGCAAGCTGTCACACACATATTTACACTTATCCTCACCCAAGTGAAGGTGGAAGCACGCACATAACCAGGCACGCTCCTTCCCCTGGGTTATACACACAGACACCTTCCCCCAAAGGCACACATGACATGTACCCATTGACATGACACACAGTGGCGTGTGTGTCCCCATCCTGAGAATGCACACATGGTCCACCTTGCCGCACGCATTCCCTGAGAACACCTGATCATACATTTCCTCGTGCTGAGTGTTCTGGCGCACACGCACACACACCCCCAACACACACACATTCACACAGAGCATGTATCACAAACACACACCCTTGGGGCAGTGGGGAGCTCTCTCTGGACTTGGGGTCTCAGGGCAGGGTAAGGGTGATGACCGAGAGGTTCCCGCAAGGAACTCCCCTGCCTTCTCCTCTGGGGTAGCCTGGGCTGGGGATCCCATCCCCCCATCTGCAGAGATGGCCCCTTGTCCGGGCAGTCCATTGCCTCACTCTGCTGGACCAAGAGCCCCCTAGATCTTCCTCAGCCTCAGAGCCTCCTCTTTCCCTGAGCCTAAGAAGCCGAGCCACCCAGCAGCCCCCACCCTCACCCACTGCGGGGACTGTACTCACTGACACGGGGGTGGGTGATGTAGTTTCGGGTGACCGCTTGCATGTGTTCCCGGGCTGTGCCCAGGTCACAGCCACTGCCGGGGAGCCCCCTGGGCCTACTGTCTACCCTCGTGGCCATGGCAAGGCGGCAGCCTGGGAGCTGAGGACCTGAGCCTGCTGGTGGCTAGCATAAACTCTTCAGGCCAGGCCGGAGCTGGAGGGAGCTGATCAGACCGCCCCGGTGGCCACCCCTCCCCTCGCCACTCCCCTCCTCCCTGAGTTGACTATAAACAGGGAAACCGTGCCCTGGAGCTCTTCCAGATCTGGGAGGGGCCCTAAGCCACCTGCCGCAGCAGCAGAGGGGAGGAGAGGTGTGCAGGGGTAAGGCTGGCCCTCTAACCTCTGAATTTGGCTTTTCGTTTGCCCCAGCTTGCAGCCAGTATGAACTCAGCTCCTCCCCCTGGAACTTCAGGTGCTCTCACAGCCCCTTGCTCCAGACCACATCTCTTCCTGGTCGCCGTACCACATGCATTTTCTGGCAGGCTGCCCTCTCTTCACTGTTGCTTCTTCACTGTCTCCCCCGACCTGCCCTCACCCTGCACCCCTTGCCCTGATCATACCTGGGTACTTCTTCCCCCGCACCATTCCATCATCATCTTTTTTTGAACATCTATAGAGGATCATTCTTCTGCCAGCTTCAGGGCCACCTCCTACAGGAAGCCTTCCCTGCATCCTCCAGCACTCTGGATTCACCACACATCTGGTGTCTTCCCTTTGTCATGCCCTTTTGGAGCATTGTCTCTTGTCACTGCCCCTAGACTCTGAGCCCCCAGAGAGCTGAGCTTATGTCTCCTCCATTATATCTGGGTCTCTTTAAGCCTTTCGATCTCATAATACTGAGAGCTTCCCGGGAACAAGGGCAGGTCTCCCTCCATCCAATCCTAGGACCCTGTCTTACCTTTTTATATTTTACCTCTAGGGTGTCATGCAGCAGGTCTGCCCTGGCAGTTTTCAGCTCGGAGCAGAAAGTACAAATAGAGGAACCCTCCTTGTGTCAAGTGGCTAAAGGAGTCATGGGGCACAGGTCTGCTGGACAAGGCAAGGTGGGCACTAGGTGGTGGCTGGACCCACTGAACCCAAGGTCTGCCCAGGTCACCCCCATGTTTCATTCCAGACTCAGGATGTCTGGGCATTTCCAAGCACCTCGCCAAATGATACCGCCAGCACAGAGGGAGGGGAGAAAGCACAACTGTATGGGGAAGCCCTGTCTGGGTGACTCAGGACAGCCAGTCTGAAACCAAATATGTCTTTCCCGGAGCAGACTGGAGTGGACGTGCTTGTCTTTTCTTCCCCAGAGAGTTGAAACCTCACCTCCAACCTCTGGCCTAAGGACCCATTTCCGGTCCCTGGTCCCTCTTTCAGGATTTCCATTCTTTCAAAGAAGTCTCCAGGGTGGGGCGGGGGGTGACGATGAAGGGGGGAGTTTTGTGGTAACTGGCAGAACTGCACCTTGACTGCAGTGTGGCAGGTGCACAAATCTCACATGGGTGATAAAATGACAGGGAACCATGCACACACGGTACCCATGTCCACTTCCTGCTTTGGTGTTGGAAAATGCAAGGGGGACACTGGGTGGAGGGTACAAGCATTTCTCTACAGTATCTTTGCAACCTGCTATAAATCCACAGTCGTGGCCCAACAAAAAGTTAAATACAAGCATCTTACTTGAACAAAAAGACAAAAACAGAACACTTTTTAAAAAGTGCTTCGTGGGGTGGTGATCGCGACCGGCGTGCTTTCTAAGGCGTGTGGGATCTTGCCTGGATTTACCCTCTCTGGCTCTCTGGATGCTGATCTGACCTTTCATTGTTTACCCCTCTTGAAGGATTTAACATTTCTACCTCTGGAATATTTTTGTTTCAAAGAGGAGCTTGCAAAGAGCAATGTTTAACCAACAAAAGCATCAATGTTGCCACCACGGGCTTTGCCGCGCGCAGGCGGAAGCTCTAATTGGGAGTAGGAGTCGGGTGCCTGTCAGCCCCCACACGTGTGGAACCCCGATCCCCACCCCGCAACTGTGAACGTGGCTCTCGTGGCTCTCGTGGCTCTCGTTTTTGCCCGGCCCCGGTAGAGCGCCCCAGGCTCAGCGCGTCCTCCTTCCCAGTGAGGAGGAGAGAGGGGGTTGAGAGCCGTGGTGGTGCTGTGGGGACTCTTGTTTCCCTTCTTGTCATTGTTTTCCTTTTATTTCCGTGAGCGGCACACACACGCACACTGCACACACACACAAGCTGCGGGACCAAGGCCTTGCGGTGGACAGTCTCTGAGCTGGGAGGCGGCCGGGCCGGCGTGCGCTGGTCCCTGCGCGCTGCGAGCCGGCTCCGGGCGGTCCACGGGGCAGGGGAGGCGGCGGGGGCGTGCGGTGCTTGGGGACTCAGTGTCACGGGGGTGGAGGCTTACACGTTGGCTTTCTTGCCACCGCCAGGGCTGCCTGGTCTCCTGCTGTAGGGCTCGAAGGCCGAGGAGCCGAGTTCATAGCAGGCAGGCAGGTCCAGGAGCGCGGCAGCGGAAAAGCAAAGGGCTGGCCGCGGGGGTGGCAGCGGCGGGGACGCCGAGGCCGAGGTCACTGGGTTGAGGCACGGAGAGGAGTTCCTGGGGTCACCCAGTGAGGTGCCCCTGTGGCCGGCAGGCGGGCCCAGCGGGCCAGGGGTCAGCGCCAGGAGGCTGGGGGCCCTGGGCACGGACAGCAGGCGGCCCTGCTCCAGCAGCCGCAGGATGTTGGAGGTGGCAAAGGCCTCGGAGGCCGAGGACGACGCGCGCTTCTCCAGGTCTCTGCTCTGGTCTTTCTTCTGCTTGGTGCGGCGGTTCTGGAACCAGACCTTCACCTTGGGGCAGTGGGTGGGGAGGAGTGTCAGGCAGGGCAAAGCAAAGTGGGGGTAGGTGGGAGGAGAAAAGGAGAGGGAGGACATGGAGGGTAAGGGAGTGGGGAGTGGGGGAGGGAGCAAGGGTGGAGCGAAAGGGGGAAGAAGAGCATTCAGAGCTTCATTAAGGCCGTCCCACACCAGCCTGCTCTGGGTGAGCCAATAAGGGACCCTGCCCTCCAGCTCCTGGACGTGGGGTGTGATCTAGAAGGCGGACACAGACTCCTGGTGGACAGCACCCTCGGCCTCGCAGAGCGCTCACCCCATACAGAGGGGCATGGCCCGAAAAGGGCCAAAGCCCTCTAAAGCATGGGGCCTCGGGCAGCCGCCCCTGCCCGGTGTGAGGACCATCCCACGGCTCCTGGTCTTGACCCCCACACTGCCTCTGAAGTGAGCTTTCTGTCCCCATCTGTTTGAACCTTTCAGCAGCCACCTCCCACCTCATGCCCTACAAAGACTGCCAGGTTTCTTAACGTGACACCACGTGTGACAGCATACAGCAGGATGTTGAGGGGGGCTTCCACGGGCCACACTCTCAAACCTGGACAAAGAGGTGCCAAGTCCTCCACATCTTAAGTGAAGCCACCAACAAAAGGGCAGAGAGAGCCCCTTTTCCCAGGTCTATGAGAGGAGGCAGGACCAGCCTCTACCACCACCCAGCACCTGGTGCTCCAAGCCCTGTCCTGGTCTATAGAAGAAACCAGAGGCTGGGAGGGAAGCTCAGTGGTCAGCCCTCATGGTGCCGGGATTTCCTCCCCACTGTGAGAAGGAGAGGGTGCCCCCTTCACGGAGGGCCAGGAGCAGGCTCTGGAAGAATCATGTGTAGGGACTAGAAAGGCTTGAGAGGAGAGTCTGACGTCGCTCCCCAGCTGGAACACTTGTCAAACCCAGCACTACTGCGCCCAGATGTGTGTCCCAGGAGTACAGAGGCTGGGCCTGCTTCTGGCCTGGAGGTTTCAGGAGGCTGGCAGCTGGCTGGGACAGTGTGTGCCCGCAGGACAAGGCGGGTGCCGCAGAGTGGAGGGCGCACAAAGATAAAGGACGGGGAAGGCTTGCTGGTGGCCTCCAGCTTTGGGACAGTGTAAGGCAGGCCAGCCACTCCTATGGCTCCTGTGAAGGAGCCTGGAGACAAGGACGAGGAGGCAGGAGCGGGAGGGCTGCCTGGGTGAGGATGAGGGCTCCCTAGGGCGATGCCGCAGGACCCCACCTCCTAGGAGCAACCACCCCTCCAGCGCCCTCAACAGTGAGTCAGCCCTGTTCTGAGTGGGGAAGGGGAGGAAGAGATTTGAAACAGACATGAGTTTGGTGTTTTAAATTGGACTGGATTGAGTTTCAATGGCGGAAGGTAACCAGAAGGTAATGGGATCTACTTGAGATTGATTGATTCATTCATTCGCTCAATCATTCATTCAGCGGGTGTGTGCTGAGTGCCTACTACCTGCTGGGTGCTGCCCTCGACGTGGGGAATCAGCAGTGAGGAAAGCAGAGCAAATCTTTGGTGGGGAGGGGACAGCATGGAGGGGGAGCCGGATGAAGAGGGCAAATGAGAACAGTCGCGACAGGCAGGGGGCAAGAAGGGTTTCAAGCAGTGTCTCTCAAATTAGTCGTGCTGGGCGCCTGGGTGGCTCAGTTGGTTAAGCGACTGCCTTCGGCTCAGGTCATGATCCCAGGGTCCGGGGATCGAGTCCCACATCGGGCTCCCTGCTCGGCGGGGAGCCTGCTTCTCCCTCTCCCACTCCCCCTGCTTGTGTTCCCTCTCTCGCTGTCTCTCTCTCTGTCAAATAAATAAAATCTTAAAAAAAAAAAAAAATTAGTCGTGCTGAGGAACCACTTTTTAAAGTTTCCAGTCTGTCATAGACCAATGTTTTTGTCAAATACAGTTAAAACGAATTACACGTACTCTCCATCTCTGCACTTAAGCGGTCCTGGACAGATAACAGTTTGCGGGGGACACCAGCCCGAGAACACCACCTGGAGAGACACTAGTTTGGAGAAAAGTGGGGAGAGGGAGCAGAGGGGACTAGCTTACTCCTGGGGGGCAAACAGCCTCTCTGAAGAGGTGACCTTTGAAGGAGGTACCAGTAAGGGAAGGCCAACGGGCACTCGACCAAATATGGTTGAAGGAAGTGACTGGAAAGAAGAAAACCTTTCTAAGTTTGTCACTCCCGGGAACTCCAGGAACGGGTCCCACCAGACCCTCGGGGGAAGTGGCTCTCTATGTCGCTGGATTCCTCTCCCCTGCTGGGAAGCCCCCTGGCTTCTCTGCCCTGGTTAGCAGCCACCCTTGTAGGCCCTAGGCACCAGCCCAAGACCACCCCAGCCTCAGTTTCTCATCTCAAAAATGGGGACAAAAATACCTGGACTGTTGCAGGGATCAGATAAGGAAGTCCATGTAGATGGCTCCGCATGGTGCCTGGCCCACCCTCCTGTGAGCTCCTGGCTCTGAACTCAGGGGCAAGGACAGACCCAGAAGTCAGGATTCCTGTCCTGGGGAAGCTGAGGGTCTAGGGGGAGGGTGGCACTGACCCGCTCCCAGCAACAAAGGGAGTGGCAGTAAAAAGAATGTGATCCATAGGGCACCTGGGTGGCTCAGATGATTAAGCGGCTGCCTTCGGCTCAGGTCATGATCCCAGGGTCCTGGGACCGAGTCCCGCATCCAGCTCCCTGCTCCTTGGGAGTCTGCTTCTCCCTCTGCCTCTCTCTCTCTTCTCTGTCTCTCATAAATAAATAAATAAATAAATAAATAAATAAATAAAATCTTTAAGAAAAAAAAAGAATATGATCCATAAGGACTGACAAAGATTTTACAGGGGGTCTTGTCCTGCAGGGGCAGCAGGGAGAGGGACATGTGGGCTGGCCCTGGGTGGGGGAGTCTCCTGGGGAAGAGGGTAAGGGAGGCAGGGGCTAGGGTCTGGCATGCCCATTTCTTGGGCCCTTATGGGCCTCATCGGGGGTTGTCAATCCGGGCTGCACTTTGAGATTATCTGGAGTCATTTTCTTCTAAAGCCTGATGCCCATGCCCCATCCCAGCTCACTAAATCAAAATCTCTACGGGGTGGGGCCTAGGCGTCCATATTTTTAAAATATTTCTGGGTGTGATTCTAACATGTGAACTGTGGTAGAAGGTCCTGGAGCTGCAAAGGTGGGGGAGAGGCACCCTGCCCGTCTACTTCCTATCATCAGTCCCATGGTGCCTAAAGGGCAAATTTATAAGGCTCAGCAAACAAGTAAGAGACAGGCTCAGAGCCTCTGGGCTCATCCCCCCCTTTTCTTCCAGGAAGCTTTCGATTCCACCACAGGGGCCACCCTCTCTCAGGGTTAAATCTGGGTACAGGTCCTTTAAGGCCCAATTCAGTTGCATACTGGATAGGCCTGGGTCCTGTGCAGAAGCATACTTCCTGGGGCGCTGGCCTCCCCTTGCCTTCTTGGTGCCCTGCTGTGGTCTCCCTGCAGGCTGCCATCTTGCCTCCTCCCTCTCCTGGCTCCTCTGGAACTCAGTGAATGCTTGGCGCCTTCATGCCCTCATCCCTTGCTGGACCACACTGGGAGCCACATACCAGGGGAGGGGCATGGTTTCCAGCTGGCTGCCAAGACTAGGGAGGTGTTTTCTGCGAGATCAGCTATCCCCCTCTCTGGGCTCATGGTTGTGTTACATCCCAAGCCTCACTGTGGATTTGGAAATGGCATTAATCTTCAAGAGGCTGCTTCCTGAGACTGTGGGCACATTCCTATGAACGGTACTTGCGTATCTGGGATGGCCCTGGTTTTTGTAACCTGGAAGGTACCACCTACTCTGCTGTTCTGGACGAAGTCATCTGGGGCAGAGGTGATGGGTCTGGGGCTGAGGTGATTGTCGAAGAGCCAGAGCTGCTCTTATCCAAGCTAAGTGGTGATCAAGTCAGTATTGGGACTTGGCACTTTGTTTTCAGCCTAGAGCCTGGGGCCCCGGCCTTGAAAAAGTCCCCCAGGTCAGCCGAGTGAGGGGAGTCCTGGAGCCAGCCTCCCACCTTCCCTTTCTCCACAGCCATGTTTCTTGTTTCCTGCTCTGCCTCTAGTCATTCATTCATACAACACATAAACAGCAAGCATCCCATCCCTGTCAGCATTACCAGGTGCTGAGAAAACAGGAATACCTAAAACTTTATCTGCACCCATTTAGTTCTCAGACACCAGCAGTGGGGGAGGTGGACAGGTCAGCAAGTATTACAAGACAGTAAATGTTTTGGTAGAAGCAGCAAACAAGATAGTGAAGAAGATCCTGGGGTCAGGCAGACCTGGATTCAATTCCAGTTCCCTCCTTGATTAGTGAGAATGGCATGGGGCAAGTTACTTAAACTCTCTGTGCCTCGGTTTCTTTATCTGTAAAATGGGATTGTAATAATGCTTCCTCATAGATTTGCTGTGATAACTCAATGAGCTAATACTAGTGGATTTAATAAAATGTCTGGCAGATGCTGAAGTCTTTCCGGTAGGGTGGTACCACATCAGCTGAAAAACATAGAGGTTGTCAGGTCTTCCCTAGAAATTCTGACTTGGAAACTGTGGGCGGAGCATGGAATCTGAGTCAGGAATCTGTATTTTAATGAGAACCTCAGGGGTTCTCCATAAAGGTGGTCTGCAGACCATACTTTGAGAAACACTGGTTTAACCAAGTGCTACACATTCTCCTGGAAACAAAGCATGGCGACAAGGTGTATCGGGGGTTTCTAAACACAGGGAGAACTGGGCTAAGTGGGACTGTCCTAGTTCTCTGATGTGGGGAAGAGCACATGCCACTCTAGCGGGATGGGGAGTGGGGGTGATTCTGATGGTTCTGAGAAATAGCTCTCTCTGAGACCCCTTCCTGCTCTCTAGCCGTGGGGTCTCAGCAAGGCCAGGGCCAGAGGTCAGTTGTGTTCTGCCTGGTTCGCTGTCCCTACCTCTGAAGAACACTTCAGCCTGCAGAACTCTGTAGGTGGTGGGGAGGGAAGGCTTCACTGTTCTGCCCACCAGGTCCTGTAAGGGGGTTCTCATTAAAAGTGCAGACGACTGAACTGGGCACATAGAGGTTAAGGAAGAGATAGGGAATGAGAACGGGCCCTGAGTGAGCCCACATTCTCTCTGCCTGAATTAGGACCCTCCTGATATCCAGGAAGGGGGTAAAGATGCTGGTTGGCAGGAGGAAGAGAAGTGGACAGAGGCAATTGCTTGGAGAGCAGCTGGGGGCATAGTCAGGGGAGCGCCAGAGGGGAGGGCTGCACGTGGCACTGAAGTCCTTGGGTCCAAAATGACCTTCAGCCTCCGCTCTCTACTAGGCCTGGCTATACCATGGTTCCTGTTCTTGGATTTCCACAAGATTGTGCCTCCTGTTTTGTCCCTTTGGAGTCCATCTGTCATTCGAGCACACTTGAAGGAGTCTCTTATCCTTTCCCCCAGAAGAGCCCACACCAAGACTCTTAGGTAAAGCAGAGAAACACCAACCCCCAGAGAAAACTCTGACATGTCTTCCTGACATCTCCCCTTGGATCTCAAACTGAACTGATCCAGAACAAAACTCTAGATTCTTCTCCCACTGTCCTGCTCCTCCGCAGCTTTCTCAACCTGTTGACGTGGCATCAGTGACCATTGTTCACCATACACCTGTTCCAGCCCCAGCCACTTCTCTCTCCCTGCCCTGTGCACATAATTCATGATGAGCAAGTCCTAACAGGTTCTCCAAATTAGAATACGTCTCAGATCAGTTCACTTCTCCCCTCCACTGTCACTCAGAGTCTGAGACAACACGGCAGCGGCCCCACCTCATTTTCTCGTCCCCATTCTCCAGATGTCAGAGTGACCTCTGTAAAACGCCAGCAGTCCTCCCCTCAACGCCTCACCATGGCCTCTAGACACTATCTGCTCTGCCCCACCTACCTTCCCCATTACCCTCCAACTCTAGCCACACCGGCCTTCGGACACTTCCAGGACATTCTATGCTAGTTCTCACCTCCAGGTCTTCACAGTTACCCTGAGTCTTGACTCCTCTTCTTCCGGCTCTTCCACTGGCTGACTCTTCCCTGTCATTCACACCTCAGCCCGCTGTCGTTCATCTCCTCAAAGATCTCAAAAGATACTATGTATCTCCTGGTACATAGTAGGCATTCAGTAATAATTTTGAACAGAGGTATGCGTGAATATACAGAGAATTCCACCGAATTTTAGCTGTATATCCTAGGGCAAGTTACTAACCTCTCTGAGTTTCTGGAAATGGGGATAGTATTACCCATAAAACCATGGGTTTTATGATTTATAGATTAGATGAGCTAATGAATGTGCCTGCTTGATTTTTATTTTTTTTAAAGATTTTTTTTTCTTAAGTAGGCTCCACACTGGGCTTAAACTCATGACCCTGAGGTCAAGACCTGAGATGAGATCAAGAGCCGATGCTAATGAACTGAGCCACCCATTTGCCCCTAAAATATTTTATTTATTTATTTATTTATTTATTTATTTATTTATTTATTACTTATTCACTTGCAAGAGCGACAGAGAGAGAACAAGCAGGGGGAGAGGCAGAGGGAGAGGGAGAAGCAGACTCCCTGCTGAGCAAGGAGCCCGATGCGGGACTCGATCCCAGGACCCTGGGATCATGACCTGAGCCAAAGGCAGACGCCCAACCATCTGAGCCACCCAGGCACCCTAAAATATTTTATTTTAAATAGTCTCTATACCCAGTGTGGGCCTTGAACTTATGACCCCGAGATCAAGTGTTGCGTTCTCCACTGACTGAGCCAACCAGGTGCCCCAAATATGCCTGCCTTAAATTTTGAGCGTGTTATTTAATTGCTTTGTGCCTCAGTTTCCCTCTCTTTAAAAGCAGAAATAATAAAGGCCTATTCTGGTATTTAAAAAGTGTACGTATTTGACCTTTGTCCCTGGTTCTTGATACAGAGCCCCTAAAACCCTTGGAATTCCTTGAGTGATAGAGTGTCTTTTGTCATTGATAACAGGCCCCTTTAAGCCACACCTGAGTTGATGCTAACAAGGTGACTCAGTGGGCCTTGCAGTCTCAGGAGCACTGGTCCCAGAAAGACTACAACCTGTGATTAGAGGTTTGGAGCCCCCACGCCTGCCCTCCTGGGAGGGGATGGGGCTGGCTTATAAAAACTCTTCAACAGTAGGATTCAGAGAGCTTCTGGGTTGATGAGCACGTGACCTAGGGGGGTGGCACACCCAGAAACGGTATAGAAGCTCCTCGAACACCCCCACCCCAGCATCTTGCTCTATGCATCTCTTCCATCTGGCTCTATCTCCCCTGCCACCAAATTGGGCTATTTCTGAGTTCTATCCTTTACAATAAACCTGTAAATGAAAGGAAAGTGTTTTCCTGAGTTCAGCGAGTCATTCCAACACATTGCCAAACCTGAGGAGGGAGACGTGGGAGCCCCCGATTTTAGAGCTGGCCAGTCAGAAGTACAGGTGGCCCCCAGGGACTTGCACCTGGCACCTGATGGGAGACTGTCCCGTGGGACTGAGCCTTACACCGCATCATCTGTGCTCACTGCAGGAGTTGGCATCAGAACTGCATTGACTAGTTTGACACCCAGCTGGTGAGAGAGAATGGGAGAATTTGTTGCTGTTGGTGTTGGGAAACACCACACACTGGGTGTCAGAAGTGTGGTCGGAAGAAAAACCTCACTCCCCTCCCACAAGGTCTTGGTGAGGACTACATGATTTAGGCCATGTCAAGTACTTAGAGCCTGGTACAGAGGAAGGTCTCCGTAAAGGTTAACTGTGCGTTATAGTATCTGCAAGCCCTGGGGCTGGGGAGAGAGAAAGGACGGGGTAAGCAAGAGTCAGTAAGTTGAGGATTCACTGAGGGGTCTCTGTTTGCCCAGTTGTGTGCTAAGCTCCCCAAGGAGACCTGAAAAGGAGATGTGGCTTTCAAACACATTCTTGTCCTTGGGAAGTGGGTGCTAGCTGGGGCCCATCACACCACACACACACACACACACACATGCACAAGCACACGCACACATATACACACACACTTTACCAAGCCATGTGGAAGGGTCTCTCGGAATGAGGTCTTATGGAAGTCTTCCTGGAAGAGGAGGGGTTTGGCCTTGACCATCAAGGGCAGGTACACGTAGGGTGTCTAGGAGGCAGGGCAGGGGAAGGATGACGACCGAGAAGGAGCCTGGGCATCTGAGGTGCCCTTGGAGAGCAGAGCTTTAGGGTAGAGTGTGCGGGCAAAACTAGGCCAGGCAGAGGGCAGTTAGGATAGGGAGGGGCAGGTATCGAGGGGTGACTCTATGCCTGACCTTCCCCCCAGGAGCTCTGGCCTGGCCCAGCCACTGCAGCCCTCTGTCTGGCAGAGCCCGGCTTTCCAGCCTCCGGACCGAGCCTAGCTGCAGCGAGGGCCTCTGCTGTCCCCGGCCGTCTGCGGGGTTGCTCTGGGGACTCAGCAACTGGCAGCAGCAGGAAAAGAGGTCCAGGCGGAGATGGCCCAGGCCCGCAGGACCTCAGCCACCGCTGACGTCGCTGCAGGGGTGCCAGGCTCCGCCGGGCCTCCCGTATCCACCCGCGCCTTCCCCAGGAAGCGCCCCCTTCCAGACTATCTGCCTCCTCACTCCTCTCCTTCGCCTCTTCCCGCTGTAAGTCCTGCTTTGGTCGTTGTCATACATTTATTGACTGAGCTCCCTCATATAGGACATCAACCTACCAGAGCTCTTGCTCAACTAAGGGTCCCCGAGTCAGTCTTTAAAAGCTCCAGGATGGTTGCCGGTTTATAGGTAGCATGAAGACGCCAGACTGCTTGCCCAAGTCCTAGCTCTGGAGCTTATTAGCTGTATGACCTTGGGCATAACCTCTCCTCCTCTGTAAAATGGGATAATACAGGGAGCTACATCACTGAGTTGCTGGGAGGCATTGGTGAATTACCATATGCGGAGCCCTCAGAGCAGCTCCTGGGCACAGTGAGTACTGGGTGGTCTAATTATCGCTGTTGTTATCCTGTATCTCTGTTACCAGCTGGAAATGCCTCCATTCACACAGAGTGCAAATGATTTTCCTTTGGGTTAAGCTTATTGTTGTTAAAATGCTAAGCCCTTCCTGGGCGAAGGGGGTATTCAGACTCCTTCTCTCCAGTAAGAACTTCTGAGGCACAGTGGGATCAAGGGTATGTATGGAGGGAATGTATGGAGGGTGGGGAAAGGCCCAGAATGGGGAAAGGCCCAGAATGGGGAAAGGCCCAGAATGGGGAAATGAGAAGTCCTCAACCCAATTCTGTAATGTTTCTTCTCTTCCCTGGAATCTTTGCTTCTGGCAAGCCAACCCCTCCCCATCCTTTACTGCAGGGTCCCTCCTGCACCAACAACCCCCTGATCACTCCCTGCATCCTAGATGCCCCTCCTTCCTATTTCTCTGGCCGTTTCCCATATTCCACCCCAAAGTGTGTGATGCCTTCGCAAGGCCCCCTGTTGGCCTACGCCCTGCTCTCTTGTCCGCCCTATATTTACTGCTCTGGTTTTCCTCTAAGCTTTTCCCTAACGCATGTCTGAACTCCAAAGCTGGATCTCCCTGTAGCAGCCCACAGGCCTCATACCCCACAAAGTCCCCAGGCTGCAGGGCAGGGGTGGAGCAGCCTGGCCCTACCGGCTTACCTGGGTCTCGGAGAGGTTCAGCTGGCGGGCCAGCTCGGTGCGCTCCCGGCCCACCACGTACTGACAGCGCTGGAACTCCATTTCCAGGTGGTAGAGCTGCTCGGCCGTGAAGGATGTGCGGGTCCTCTTGGGCCGGTCCAGGTCCAGACCCTTAGGCAGGATGATCTCCCGGATGGTCCCTTTGGCATCTGCAGGGGCCATGAAAAGAGGCCGGTTAGTTCACTAGGTAAGGAGTTAGGCCACCAACAGTCATCTTCACAAGAGGCAGTGTGATCTAATGAGGAGCTCTTTGGGCTTGGGTCTGGCTCTGTGACCTCTGACGAGTGGCTTACCCTCTCTGGGCCTAGCTTCCTTAATCACTCAATGCAGTACGTTGTATCTATTCAGCATATATATGTGAATGGGCCTCATTACAAATTTCAAGTCCACTGCCATAGTCTGGGCAGAAAGGATTTGCTCTGACACAGCCAGGATTCTGTTCCCTCAGCACAGTAAAAGGACAAATGGAAAGAGATATACCAAGTCCTCAAGTATAGAGGAGAGGATGGGTTAGAATTGGGTCTGATCAGTCAGGTAAGGCTTACTTACTTACTTACTAGGTAAGGAGGAGATGTCCAGAGCCAGGTCCTGAGCCCTGTGGACAGGTGTGCACACATGGGTGAGCACTCAGTCCACAGACTCTCCTGGGGTCCACAAAGACGCTAGCTAGTTTTGGGGGGGAGGGCAGCCTGGGGGGCTGGGATCCCCAGGAAAGAGCCCAAGGACCACTGCCACCAATCAAGCTGCTGGGGTGCCTTCCAGAGGGGAGATTTCTACCACTCCCCATGTACCTAGTTCTGAGCAATAGGACCACCCTCCTGGGTCCTACCGCAATACCATCCATGCATAGAGTCTCCAGGATTTTGAAGCCTACTTAAGAGAGGTTGAAAACCTTGCAGCCTACATTCACCGGATATTCCCAAAGAACTGAGAAACAACAACAAAATGTTTGCAAAAGTAAAATATGAATTGGAGGGGGGGCTTCTGTATATACATCAGCTTTAACTATAGGGGCAAGAGATGATCCATGTTCATCCTCTAGAAGCGTATGGCAGGGCTGCTCATGTTTTAGGCATAATAAAAGCTGACACCTCTGCTGTGTTTGCTCTGGGCCAGGTACTGTTTTCAGCACTCGAACCCGCCCGATGTCTCAGTGAAGCTGGATTATTATTAGTCCCATTCTACAGATAGGGAAGTGAAGGAACACATTTTAAGTAACTCACCCAAGGCCACACTGACAGTGTTCCATCAGGTCTATAAACACCCTCACTTTACTTTATGAATACCATCTTTTGGTAATACTTAATGATTCAATGGATAGGTTATAATGAAGAGAACTTGGGTCATGGGTATAAAAAAATGGAATCTTCTGGACAGGTTCCTCAGTGCCCTGGAAGGCAGAGGAAAGGACCTGCATTTGGGATGTGCCATCTGTCAGGGGACTCCTGTGAGCCTCACCACTGTGGATTCTGCTTTTACAATCCCTGCTCTAGAGGGTGACCCTGACCCCTGTCCCTCTGAATCCTCCACCATATGGTTTATGAGATGGTTCTTCCTGGCTCCTGCCAGGGCCCGCTCACATTTCCTCCTCCAGGGTATGTGTTAGCTCCTTGTAGGCTCCTGGCTCGCAGGTCTGGCCCTGCCCTAGGAGGTGCTCAGTCGATCCTGGGGAGAAGCTGTGTCTGGGTCAGGGAATACAGTCACTCTCAGAGGTGGTCTTCCCCTCACTAGGCGTGTCTTGTGAGGGGGCTGGGCAGAGCTCATCAGATGGACATGGGCCCTGCACTTGAGGTGGTGGTGGGAACCACAGGCCTTTTGGGACAACTCAAGCTTTCCCTGTCTGATACTTTCTACATTCCGAAAAGGTGGGGAAGTAGTCTTTGCAACCCCATTGACTGGGTTCCCTTTGCTCAGGTCCTATTATTTCCAGTTGCAAGATCCGTCTCAGAACTTCCTCACAACACCCAAGTGACTCCATCTCTAAAGGCCTTGATTTTTTTTTTTAAGATTTCATTTATTTATTTATTTGACAGAGAGAGACCCGAGAGAGGGAACACAAGCAGGGGGAGTGGGAGAGGGAGAAGCAGGCTTCCCGCGGAGCAGGGAGCCCGATGCGGGGCTCGATCCCAGGACCCTGGGACCATGACCTGAGCCGAAGGCAGATGCTTAACGACGGAGCCACCCAGGTGCCCCTAAAGGCCTTGATTTTATTAAAAGTGTTTTGGGGGTGTAGACTGGAAGAAGGGGGGTGTCTGTCATATGTGGTGATAGCAGCTTCACATCTCCTCCAGTGAGCCTCCTGGAGACCACCTGAACCTGGGTTCCCGACCACTGGGGTCAAATCACACACGTCCCCCATCCTTTCCTCTTTGTAGAAGAGCTGAGACAAGCATTCCTGCCTCAGGGAACAGACAAGGTCAGCTCTTCCTAGGTTCAGGGAAGGCAGGAATCATATAAGAAAGGCAACTTGCCCGCCAGGTATCAAAACATGCCATGAAAATAAGCATAGGAAAAGATATTCAACATCGCTAGCCATTGGGGAAGGCAAGTTAAAACCACAAGAGACACATATTAGAATAGCTAAAATAAAAAATACTGAGAGTTTCAAAGGCTGGTGAGGATGCAGAGAAACTCGATCTCTCATACACTGTCAGTGGGAATGTACATGGTGCAGCCACGCTGGAAAATGACCTGGCAGTTTCTTAAAGGGTTAAACATACACTTAACCATAGAACCCAGTGACCACGCTCCTAGGCCTTCATCCAAGAGAAACAAAATCTTAGGTTCATGGCAAAACCTGTACGGCAAAACCTGTACATGAATGTTCACAGATGCTTTATTTATAATAGCTCCCACATGGAAACAAGCCGAATGTCCTTCAATGGGTGAGCGGTTAAGCAAACTGGGGTAGAGCTATACCATAGGATATAAGCAATAAAAAGGAATGACTATTGACAGATATGACAATTTGGATGAATCTCCAGGGAATTCTACCAAAGTCGGCCCCCAAGATTATATAACAATGATCACAATGACAAAGTTATAGAAGAAGAGAACAGATCCATGGTTGCCAGAGGTTAGGTAAGGGAGGGTTTGACTATCAAGGGGTAGCATGAGGAAGTTCCTTGATGGCGACAGAACAGTTCTCGATTTGTGGTGGTGGATATACAGATCTATAAATGTGGTAAAGTATCATAGAACTAAATATAAAGACAAAAAAATGAGTGCGTGTAAAAATGGGTGAAATTCGAGGAAGGTCTGTAGTTTGGTCAATTATATTGTACTGATGTCAGTTTCCTGCTTTTGATAATGTCTTATAGAGGGACGCCTGGGTGGCTGAGTCCGTTTAAGTCTGCCTTCGGCTCAGGTCATCAGCCCAGGGTCCTCGGATCGAGTCCCACATCAGGCCCCTTGCTCAGCGGGGAGTCTACTTCTCCCTCTGTCTGCCGCTCTCCCTGCGTGTGCTCTCTCTCTCTGAAAAATAAGTAAATAAAATCTCAAAACAAACCAAAACTAATTGATAATGTTTTATAGATATGTAAAATGTCACTTTTGGGAGAAGGTGGGTGATGGATACATAGGACCTCTCTGTCAGAACCTCTTTGTACTATTTTTACAACTTCTTGTTGTCAAAAATTATTTCAAAATAAGACATTAACAACAGCAACAAAACATGCCATGAAGCTACAGTGAGGTTTTGTCCACGATGAGGATGAATCCATCGGTGCGAAAAATACAGTAGCATTTCCCCAAAATGCCTCCACATTCCACTTGTGATTTGTAAGGTGATTTTAAATGGTACATAAATAAACATTTGTCATTTTGAAAGTTATGTACTTATTTATTTTTTTTTTTTATTTGAGAGAGAGAGAATGAGAGATAGAAAGCACGAGAGGGAAGAGGGTCAGAGGGAGAAGCAGACTCCCTGCCCAGCAGGGAGCCCGATGTGGGACTCGATCCCGGGACTCCAGGATCATGACCTGAGCCGAAGGCAGTTGCTTAACCAACTGAGCCACCCAGGCGCCCATTGAAAGTTATGTACTTATTTTAATGTTTACTAGAAAAAAATTTAAACCTATGATTTTATGTGCTTAGGATAAGGCAGAAGTTGGTATTCAATCTTTAATCTTAAAATGTATTATGCTAAAATATTAAGTAAACGGAACATAAATATAACAGAAATGGTGAAGATGATATTCAAATGACTGAACTGTGGAATCAAGAGTGCACAAGAAGACCCACGTATACATAGTGGTAGAGTTTATGATAATGGGAGCATTCTAAATGGAAAAAGGTTGGTCTAGTCAATAAATGGAGTTAAGTAGATGGGTGACCATAAACTATCTATTTGGAATAAAATTAAGTTAAATTCCTATCTTTCATCATAAATGACAATAATTTTCAAGTGGATTAGAGAGAAAATCGTAGACTATAAAATGATAAAAATACTAAAAGGAAATATAGGATGAAATTTTTATAATCCTGAGCTTGGGAAGAGCAAGATATAAAACTAGAGCTGTAAAGGAAAGACAAAAGATATATCCGACTATACTAAAGCTAACGCCATTTGTAGAACAAAAGGACCGAGATCAAGGTAAAATTAAAAAAAAAATTGAAGAAAAAACTTTTTGAAATGGTAAAGAAATTATATATAATGCAATAATAAATGATTTTTAAAAGGAAATAGTCTAGTAGAAAAAAAATGGTCAAGTAATTTATCTGGGGCATTTACAGAAAAAGATGTGAAATGACCAATAAACATAAGAAAAATGAGCACAGCTTCACAGAAATCAGGGTGATGCAAATTCACACAACAGAAAATCATTTATCTCCCATAGGACTGGAAAGACATTAATGAATGGTTAATAAATCAGTGATGAACTGTAGGGGATGCCACACTCCCATTCAGTGTTGGTAGGACTGTAAACTGTCACCACCTTTTAAGGCTGCACTTGTCAAGATTAAAGACGCACATAACTTTTGCCCTAGCAATTTTATTTTAGTATATATTTATCCAGAAAAGCATACACTCATGTGCTCCAGAGCATATGTAAGGGTGTTTGCTGCAGCATTGTTCAAAATATTGAAATTTTGAAATTTTGAAAGCAACCTCAAGGTTCCCCACAAGAGAAATGGCTGAACAAATCAT